GAGTAAAGAAGAAAGACTTTGAGACTGTGTGAGAGATAACATCAGCAAACACGATGTATAGATCAAGAAAGAGAAGAAGAACAAGAGAGTCTTAATAGAAAAGAGATCAAGGGCTTGATAAAAACCGACAAACAATTCCAAATAAATGAGTTGTATGCGAGAAGCAGATGACAAAGAAAAGGAAAATTCCAAAGCGAGATGTAGAAGAAATGAGTTAACATAAATAGAGAAATTGTGAACATTTATTGAGAGAGATCAAATACATAATATTCTTTAAAGCAAATGCATAGTATTCTCAAGAGGTCGGGACCTACATGCAACTCTGGCCTTTCTATGCTCAGAGCTGACAAGAACGTAGAGTAGAGTAGAATGAGTAGAGTAGAGTAAAACTATTAAAGCTCCCAGACAGCTCTACTCACTCGCACACTGCCACACTCTTTACAGGCACACATATATTTTCGACATGATGCCGACGTAACCAATTAGCTCTTTTAATTAACACAACATTAAAGCATTGTAAAATGTGGCAGCTGGGAGTAGGAAAAAAAAGCAGCTAGAAAAATGTTTAAGACCCAGCTGGAGGAGGAAAGCCATGAAATCAAAGCTGACAACAAAAGTAAACTTGCCTCGCCCTGTTCTTTTCCGCTTTAGCGAACGTTTTAAGAACTCGACTTCAAAACACAATTATTGAAGAGCAAGAGGAAACGGAGGAGAAAGGGGGAAGTGGAAGAGAAAGAGGTGGGATCGCCTGGCAAAACTTAAAACTATGCGAGACGTGGCGGCAATCAGCCTCTTATTGGTAGTTATTACGGAATTTTCCTCTTGTTCACGCCTTCGAGACGTGCTCGAGGAAGGTCCTTGAGTCGGTTGAACGACTTTTCGAACGTTAGTTTTTTCTTCATATATATATTTAATATTTACTATTATTATTATAATAGCAAAAGTAATGCAATTTTCCTACACTAATTAGAGCCCTGCCCGGGGGCTCCCTTGTGGACCAGAAATCACACGCTCGCACTTGAGTGTAAAGTCCGAAATGGACCGCCCCCTCAGCCCCTTCAGAACGTCAATGTCGTCGACTTCACTCGCGGCTTATGCAAATATATAGTTATGGCATTAATCAAGAAAGTGCAGTAGAAACAAACAAGCAGAAAAAAGAAAAGAAAAGAACAGAAAAAGAAGAATGCAAGAAAATAAATATTTTTGGTTAATATGAAAGGGGTTTGTGTTGGCTCAGCGCGTTTGCGTTGTTGTTGTTGTTGTTCTTATTTTTTACTTTTAATAAAAATTGCATAAAAAATGAAAACTTGCAAGTGCCGAATTAAAAAGCAAAAAAAAAAAATAAGATTGAATAATGTACAGCAGTCAATGCGCTGAAAAGTGGCATCCAAAGTGAACAAGAGGCTGCAGGAAAGACGCGAAAGAGCAACGAGCAACGATGGAACTGGCAAGCGAACAGGCGCTGTCCGGCTGTGGAATGGACGTTTGTTTGCGCCTGTTGGGGAAAATGTTTCAAGTTGAGGAAAGGAAAAATGTGAAAAAAATGCCCTTTGTTTGCTTAAAAACTTTTCACTCACAGCGGCTGGCAACGGACGGGCTCAAATTATAAAAATTTACAATCAGATTAAAGTTGTTGGCTGGCGACTGTAGAGCCACTGTTAAAGCCAATGTTAAGCTAACATAAGGATACTTTTAACATGGAGAAATAACAGAGTTAAGCTGGCATTATAAGATCCCTAATCTGTGTCAATTATTAAGTCTATATTAATTAAATAAAAATTAATATTCACTCAAACCTCGACAGGAATAATATTTAACATCTAGACTACTCGCCGCCTGCCACTGAATAGAAAAGGTTAAAGCCAATATTAAGCGAATATCAGGGTACTCTTAACATTGGGAAATCAGATTAAGCTTGCAATATAGTTAGCCCTATTAACTGTAAATTAGAAACTAAATTAGGAAATTAGATAACCCTTGGCTGGAATAATATACAACACCTGGACTTCCCATTGCTCACCACTCACATCATTTCAATCTGAACTTTGTGCTAATGACATTTAAATTTCAACGCGAACTCTGTGTGAAACAGATTGCAGAAAATGTATTCAGTGTCTGAGGGATAAGAAAAAAAAAAAAAGAAATACATTTCGAATGTAAATTCGCAAAGTTAAACAATTATTATGCAGCAGAGAAGAGTTAAGTGAATGCAAATTTAAACGGCAGCAGCTACTTTAATTAAGATGTTTTTATTTCTCTTTTTTTTTCTCATTTCTGTGAAGCTGTGCGAAGAAAACAATACTCTTTTACGGCGTCAGTTTGGCAATGCTTGTAATACAATACGCTCGGGGACTACCAAGAGCTAAGTACGACATTTGATGCCAACTTTGCTTTGGTTCCTGCAAAACTGCCAAATATTCGTTTGGCTGCAAACTTGCTGCCTAATAGGGTTTAACTGCAACAAAGTTAAGAGTTTAGAGCCGACGATGAAGGCAAACTTTCTCGAGGGTTCTTTAATTGGTCTGGCTTTGGCGTGTGCGGGAGGCCGTTCTCTGCAATTCTCATTTGAGATGGCTGAGTTCTTTATGACTTACTGACATTTATAGCACCAAATGATTGCATTTCTTTGCGACCTCTCTAAAATTGATTTATTTTGTTTCTTTTGCGGAACAAGGTTAGGGTTCAAATGAAATTACAGAGACCATAGAATGTAAAAGTGGTAGTAGGTCAATAGTAGTAGTATAGTACTGGCCGTAAAAGTATCAGTAGTATAGTAGTAGAATTAGTAGTAGTTTAGTAGTGGCAGTAAAAGTAGCAGTAGTATAGTAGTAGAATTAGTAGTAGTATAGTAGTGGCAGTAAAAGTAGCAGTAGTATAGTAGTAGAATTAGTAGTAGTATAGTAGTGGCAGTAAAAGCAGCAGTAGTATAGTAGTAGAATTAGTAGTAGTATAGTAGTGGCAGTAAAAGTAGCAGTAGTATAGTAGTAGAATTAGTAGTAGTATAGCAAAGTAGGAAGAGCAGTTATAGTTGAATTAGTAGTAATGTTGCAGAAATAGAATTAGTAGTGGTACAGTCGTAGAATGAGTAGAAGTGGTAGAAGTTTAGTAGTAAAAGTTGTGGTAATATCGTACTAGAAAAAGTAGAATTACTTATATTAGTAGTAGAACTTGTAGTAGTTTGGTAGTAGAAGTTCTAGCAATATAGTCGTGGAAGTAGTAGTAGTAGTAATTCAGTAGTAGAACTAATAGTAGCTTGGTAGTAAAAGTAGTAGTAGAAATAGTAGTGATTTAGTACTAACATTTGTGGAGGTAAAAGTAGTAGTAATGTAACAGAATTTAGTACTAGTATATTCGTAGTAAGGTAATAAAGCAGCTCCATGTTAGTAGTAATCGTAGTAGTTGTAGTACAGTAGGGTTAGTATCTGTGTAATAGTAATAGTAGTACAGTAGTACAACAGTAAACTGAGGAAGTATGTATAAAAAGTAGTACATAGAAAAAAGTACTAAATTATCATCAAGTCCGTATTTGCACTACTAACTTTACGATTTCCTCTCGCTTGCGCTAGCGACGTCTAGTGATAAGAATGCATTTTGGCATTGAAGACTCTAAAGCTCAGGAGCAGCGCCAAGTTTTAAAGCTGTTGTTGTCGTTGTTGTTGGGTGTGTGTGTGTGTNTCGTTTGGCTGCAAACTTGCTGCCTAATAGGGTTTAACTGCAACAAAGTTAAGAGTTTAGAGCCGACGATGAAGGCAAACTTTCTCGAGGGTTCTTTAATTGGTCTGGCTTTGGCGTGTGCGGGAGGCCGTTCTCTGCAATTCTCATTTGAGATGGCTGAGTTCTTTATGACTTACTGACATTTATAGCACCAAATGATTGCATTTCTTTGCGACCTCTCTAAAATTGATTTATTTTGTTTCTTTTGCGGAACAAGGTTAGGGTTCAAATGAAATTACAGAGACCATAGAATGTAAAAGTGGTAGTAGGTCAATAGTAGTAGTATAGTACTGGCCGTAAAAGTATCAGTAGTATAGTAGTAGAATTAGTAGTAGTTTAGTAGTGGCAGTAAAAGTAGCAGTAGTATAGTAGTAGAATTAGTAGTAGTATAGTAGTGGCTGTAAAAGTAGTAGTAGTATAGTAGTGGCAGTAAAAGCAGCAGTAGTATAGTAGTAGAATTAGTAGTAGTATAGCAAAGTAGGAAGAGCAGTTATAGTTGAATTAGTAGTAATGTTGCAGAAATAGAATTAGTAGTGGTACAGTCGTAGAATGAGTAGAAGTGGTAGAAGTTTAGTAGTAAAAGTTGTGGTAATATCGTACTAGAAAAAGTAGAATTACTTATATTAGTAGTAGAACTTGTAGTAGTTTGGTAGTAGAAGTTCTAGCAATATAGTCGTGGAAGTAGTAGTAGTAGTAATTCAGTAGTAGAACTAATAGTAGCTTGGTAGTAAAAGTAGTAGTAGAAATAGTAGTGATTTAGTACTAACATTTGTGGAGGTAAAAGTAGTAGTAATGTAACAGAATTTAGTACTAGTATATTCGTAGTAAGGTAATAAAGCAGCTCCATGTTAGTAGTAATCGTAGTAGTTGTAGTACAGTAGGGTTAGTATCTGTGTAATAGTAATAGTAGTACAGTAGTACAACAGTAAACTGAGGAAGTATGTATAAAAAGTAGTACATAGAAAAAAGTACTAAATTATCATCAAGTCCGTATTTGCACTACTAACTTTACGATTTCCTCTCGCTTGCGCTAGCGACGTCTAGTGATAAGAATGCATTTTGGCATTGAAGACTCTAAAGCTCAGGAGCAGCGCCAAGTTTTAAAGCTGTTGTTGTCGTTGTTGTTGGGTGTGTGTGTGTGTGTAGGTGTGGCATATATTTAGCCTAGCAGCAGAACAGTTTTATGTTAATGTACTCCAGCTGGCTGTGACCAGGGATTTTCCCCCTATGCCAGCATACAATTTGTAAACTAAAATGGGCACTTGTCTGCTTTTTACTGTTCACAGTTGCGTTCACAGTCTGGCTGCATACCCTGCCCTAGATCAGCTTGAAGGAGCCGTGCACGGACCGTGGGAGCTATCCTCCACAAAATGCCCGGTGTTGTCTTCCTAATCGTCGTGCCGACAGCGAACTTTGAGCGCGAGCTGATTTACGGTAAGTAGGCGAAGCAGAAGCAAGCTGAAATTGAATAAGCGCCGAGCGCTAATTAAATAGAAAGTTACAAATTTGCTTTTAACCCCCGCGCTCACTTGGCTCCCCTGGCTCCCTTGGCTTGCTTGGCTCACACATGCTGCAGAATGTGCTGGTGTAACATGCCTCCACCTGCTGGCCCAACATGTCCATCCATACATCCACATAAACATTCACATTCACCTTCACATCCACATTCACATCCACATCCACATCCGCTTCCTGCCTGCGCCTGCATGCGTTGGTGCTTAGGCGCGTAATTATGTTGTTTAGTGGCGTTATTAATTATTTTATGACATCGTAAAAGTGTAAAACTGCTCTCGGCGCCTAAAAGCCTGCCTCGAAATTTGCCCACAACAGAAACCAACACCCGCCCCCATGGCCCACCCATCCACTAACTCACATGCATCCGCCGCAGTGGTATCCTTTTTTTTTCCACATTCTCTCTGAGAGGGTATTCGAGTACGAATATGAAGAGTGCAACACTTAGTAAGTAGAGGGCATCTGCTATGCTATATAGTCTATAGAAATCGTATATCATATCACATATGTACATACATATTTATATCGTATGCTCTATGTAAATTCATTTTTATCCTAACACACATAAAAATGATAAGCTTAATATATAATGATTATTTATTATCAAGATGAGATAAATTTATCGTATATGTTATTATTATTAGTATATCATTATTATCTGTTCTATTACAAAGAGGAATTACTTTAGATTTTTTTATATACTCAATTGAAATATAAAACATTTCAGGTTTAAGTAATATGCCCGATAAACGATATTTGTGAAAAATGCTTTAAAA